CAAGTTTTAGGGGCTCTGACACCTGCCTCTGACCACGTCACGACCCAAATAGATCAAGGAAAATTAAACAAGAATAATAACGTTAGATTTACCAAACGCCTTTGACACAGTCGATCATGATACACTAGGTGAAAAACTGGAGGCTCTTGGCACTGGATTTGTTGACTGGTTTTAGTTCTATCTTAATAGCATGAAACAAATTGTTGTTGCAAATAATACCGAATCAACACCCTTTTGCAGTCCCACGCGAGAGTATCCATGTCCAATTACTTTTCCTTTGCTATGTAATTGTATTTTGTTTTGTTCTTGCTGATGACAATGCCTTTTTAGTGTTAGTTAGAGATCCAAAGGTTATAGCTAACAAGTTTTAATCTGAACTGGAGTCATGTGATTTATGGCTGATAAGCGGTAAACTATCCCCACGGTTTTTTTTTTTAAGACTGAAGCAATATTATTTTATTAAAAAAGAAAAAGAAAGGAATGAAAAGACACGGTGAAATATCTTTGGTAACTCTTGACTCATCTCTCACCTATCGGGATTATAGAAAATAAACTATATAAAAGTTGTACTAAGATAAAATACATCTATAGTAATACCATGTATTTGTCAGCAAATGTCCGTAATGAGTCATCACGGACAAGCAATGGGTCATTAATAATGACCCATTGCTTGGAGCTCATTCAAGGTCACTTGGACTATTCCTGTTCATCATGGTACTTCGCCTTAATATGAAGTATAAAAGCCAACAACAAATATTCAAAACAAGATGATGAGGATCATTTTACATAGGCCCTATGGATGCAAGAGAGCATATTGGTAACAAAGTCTTTCAAACATTGGACATGCTAAGTGTGGCAGGTAGAGTGAAGCAGTTGAGGTTAAATCACGTCTTTAGGATGGTCTGTACACCGACCTTGTGAAGCTGTCCGGGGTATGTTCAGCTCAAGGTCCTGAATCTCGGTAACAAGAGTAGCTTCTTCGAACACTTTTTTTTAAAATTTGGTTTCTGTCCGAATGTTTCTCATTAATCAATATTTGATCTTTAATTTTAATAATCATATTTGTAATTCTAAATAAAGTTACAATAAATTGTATGAAATTGATGGGGCCAAGACCCGTCTATATTAGTGCTGTCCATTGTTTTATATCACTTTGTTTACCCTTTTCCCTCATTTCAGCAAAATTGAAAATTTTATTAGTTATCCATAACAATGTACAATTTTCTATAATAAATTGATAGAGAACGAACTTGTTTGGTATACTATAGAAAAACCTTGACGAAACAGAACTTATCAATAAAATTCACCTCTCTTAACAGAGAATATTTAGGAGAAAAATATGTAGAATACAATATTACGTTAAGCGATGTTTTCAGAAACCGTTCAAAAATCGTATTTTTAAACTCAATATACTGGGGCCGTTGTTGCTTGTATGTTTTATATATGGTAATTATGTCAAAAGCTATACACTCCTCTGTAAAAATGTTTGCTGATGACAGAGAAATTAATAATCAAACGGACTGTAAAGTGTTACAGGAAGATCTCTGTCAGCTTCAGAAATGGTCAGAGGAATGGCTGTTAAGATTCAACGTCATGAAATGAAAAATACTGCACCAAAGGGGAGACATCACGTCCCAAAGCGACGAAGAAAATCCTTAACTAATACCAAATGTGAAATGGACTAGGTGTGCATGTTGACAGCAAGCTGAAGTGCTAAGACCCTTCTCAGAAAAAGATAAATCAAGCAAATATGCTGCTAGGTCTTACAAGAAAGTCATTTGCATACATTCCACTTTTCAAAGAAGCACTTTCATGCAGTTTGGTCTTAAGAGATATGCTAGAGACTGTTAGTTGATTGAAAACGTACAAAATGGGGCTACGGGATTGGTGCCTGTATTCTGAGTGGTGAGAACGCCTGCAGTTGTCCTAAACTAAAGACGGGCAAGGTGTGACTACATAGAAATCTAAGCACTCAGTGAAGAGAAGGGGAATTACGTTTGGGGGTGAATTACATGACCTCACAGAGGGCGACTTCACTTTACGTGGTGGTCTGACAACGATAACCTCACAAAATATAACGATTGAAGATGACCTGATCACGAGATCTGAGGTTGACAAGTTCCATAACAATTTACACAATGAATTACTTAATGCTCGAAGGCAGAATATACCATACAAAAAACTCAGATCAGATAAAGGCTATAGGTAAGAGAGTAAATCGTGGTGAAGTTTATTTCGAGATTATTATAAAGTATTTGCCAGTTGGGTTAAGCCCGAGGTAAGAAAAGCAGAGTAATAATGAACTGAAGGTAGCAAGGGAGGCGAAGTCAAACCCCAAGAGATTCTTCCAATTGTATCAAATTTAAACACGATACAAGATTGGACAATACAGTCAGATACCGTAGAGCTAACTTATAATAATGGAGAAACGAGCAACAAACTGAACAAATATTTTTTCAATAGTTTTCATCGCCGAGAATTTAAACATAATACCCGAGGCACAGACTATATACAGATATAGTGAAGAAAATAGATTAAGGGGGATAATAATTACTAGTAACGATGGAAGTAAGAAATAGACAAATTAAAGCCTAATAAGTCATCAGATACTGATGAGATATTTGTCAGAGTATTAAAGGAATGTAAGGAAGAACTTAGTATGAACTTAGCAATTTTGTTTAACATGTAATACCAAAATCTTGGAGGATAGCATATGTAATACCAATTTTCAAGAATGGAAATGGATCATTATCCTCTAGCTACCGTCCAGCCAGTTTAACATCAATTGTAGGCAATTTGCAGCAAGCAATAATTTCAAAGTGTATTCGAAATCACCTCGAGAAGCAAGTGGGCGTTCATGTCTAACAAATCTATTAACATTATTTTCAGCTGTTTTCGAATCAGTGGATGCCTTCGGCAGAGTCCCCCACGAAAGACTAATACGAAAAGTGGAGGCTCATGGAATAGGAGGAGATATTATAAAACGGATTAGGGCGTAGTTAGAGAACAGGAAACAGCACGTAAGCATTAACGGCACCAAATCCGATTGGGGTAACGTCACTTGTGGAGTACCTCAAGTCTCAATACTTGGACCATTACTATTTATTATATACATTAACGACATAGATATAGGCGTAGACAGCAACTTTAGCAAATTTGCTGACGACACTGAAATAGGGAGTGTAATTAAATCTGACGAGGACACCGCAGAACAACAAGAAAATATTTAAAAAAAAGGCATGATCTAAAAATTGGCAGATGAAATTTAATGTGGACAATTGTAAAGTAATTAGTCTCGGAGATGTAAACAGACAAACCACAGTATCAGATGAACAACGTTGTTAGAGAGAAATCCGACTGAGAAAGATTTGGGAGTAATGTTAAGTGGGAATCTTAAACCAAGACAACAATGCGTATTTGCTCGAAACAAGGCTAACAGAGTACTTGGGTTCAAGCAAAGGAGTGTTACCTTGTAAGACCTCACTTGGATTACGCGGTTCAGTTCTGGTCACCGTACTACAGAATGTACTGTATATAGAATCCCTAGAAAGCATACGGAGGAGAATGACATGACTAATCCTGGACATTAGGAACCTTCAGTACAGAGACAGGTTAAAGCATCTTAATTTGCACTCCTTCGAGAGACGTAGAGTGAGGGGCGATATGATCTGTGTTTTTAAATGGAAGCCAAGGTTAAACAAAGGTGATATAAAAAAATACTCAAACTATCCAACCAGAAGTGAACACGTTTATGATAATTATATATAATAATATTCTACAAAATATTATATGATTAGTGGGGATCAGCCAATTACCACGTAAGTTCACCAACGTCTTCCTCTTTGGCGACCTAACCTGATCCTGACTTGACCTGACCTGACATCAGGTTACGCCGCAATGAGCACTATATATGCCCGGTCACCACCTACCGGTACTCCATCATCAGTTACATTGGGACACACTGTCAGTCTCCATTATCCACTCACTGTGTCAACATTATAATGGATCACAAGCTTCAGCCACAAGACCGTCCTATAGAAAAAGACACGGGCCAGCTTGCACTTCAGGGTGAGTAACACATTACCAACAATTATTTAAAGGGCATATTATCAAATTAGTGATTCTCAGAAATTTCAAAATATCTCTGATTTTGAGGTAAAAACCTCCAAAACTACAAATGCCTTTATTTGTATATAAAATCTGCTACAGCTTTTAAATGCATTTAAAGAGTGAATTGTGTGCCTGTGTTATTACCGTGCTGTTAGTCAGTGTGCGTATACATAATTATGAGTGGCGTCAAACAACGCAACTATATTAGTATGCTCGTTGTCCAGATTCGAACACAGATGAAAATAATGCTAATAGATTAGTTAGACATGAACGCTCGGTTGTGAAGCCATGTTGGGAATCATTGATCAACTTTTGCTTCTCCAGGTGATTTCGAATAGAGTTTGAAATGATTGCTTCCAGTAATTTGCCTACAATTGATATTAGACTGATTGGGGGGTATATAGAGGATAGTGATCTATCTCCCTTCTTGAAAATTAGTATTAAATTCGCTATCCTGCAGGATTCTGGTACTACACCCGTTTTTAAGGACGCGTTAAATAACTTTCCTAAGGTCATACTAAGTTCTTCCTTACTTTCCTTTAATACTCTTTCAAGTATCTCAACGGGACCTGGTTATTAATTTTAAAAGTGTTCAGAATAGCCCATATTCCCCCCCTTACGTACAGTACCGCATGTCAACTTGTTTCTCACCTCCCTGCAGGTAGCATGTATGTCTCACGGTGTACTTAAACTTCAGGTGGGTAAAGTGAATATACAGTGGAAGGTATTAATATAAAGATGTAAGGAATGCTTGATTGTAGGGGCAAGTATCCCAAACCCCTTCATTTAGAAAACAATTTCCCAGAAAACACTGCTATTGTTTATGATTAATGCTCAGTGGCCCGTAAACTGTCGTAAACGATTGAGTTGATTTTTTTATGCTTTTCTCTAGGGCTCAAGAACACGGTGGCGAGATTCCCCGAATATCCGGCTACCCCTGAAGAGCCAGCTGCCATATCATTTGCAGGTGTTACAAGTTCAGCAGCCGCACGAGCCCGCGAGGGACACTTATCACCCTCGTCCACATCCAAGACGACCCAGTCAGTGTTGTCTGAGAATTCCAAGGCTTCCGGAAGCAAGGGAGGACCGATTATACCGTTCTTCAATTACCATAATTTTCTAATGCCGCCCTTAAACCACTGGATAACACATCCATTGATATCTAACAACATGAGACCACTGTTAACTCACCGGCAGGTTGCTACACTACAGGCCAACTCAACAACACTGCTACCCTGTCAAGCCACGCCTTCTTTTGGCACTTCCAGTCGTCGGCCGCCTCGGAGGAAGTTGAAACGCGAGGTGTGTTCACAGTGCAACAAGCAATTTGAGAGTCGCTGTAAGTTAAAGGAGCACATGTTTTCACACACAGGTGAGCGGCCTTACCAGTGTGAGGTGTGCGGCATGCGTTTCGCTCGCAAGTTCTGCCACAAGCGCCATCTCAATGTGCATACTGAAGAGAAACCGCATTTGTGTCATATGTGTGGTCGAGGCTTCCGTGCAGAATACGACATGAAGATGCACGTAATGGGGAAGGTGTGCCTAAAGAAACTCCCGAAGCGAGATGGGCCCTCTCCAGCAAAACACAGTGTGCCATGACAACACCCACGACTTCTTCAGAGCTCGCCGGCAATCTTCCACAAAGCAGCCATCCATCACCTGGCAAGTCACTGAAGCGAAATGGTTTATGTATGAAGTGATTCTGTGATCATGAAGCTTTACAACAATATTATTAAAGCATTTCATTGAATAAAAAAACATTTGTACTGCTCTAAGTATTTGGGTAACTGTTGTAAATCTACATTTGTGCAGCCAAATTGTTCAAATCAGTACACAATTTACTTGATAAATAAATTTTATGTAAAAGAAAGGTAATGTGACGGAATCTTGAACAAAATGACACTTGATAATTTCAATGTTTAATATGGGGAATTTAGGGAAACAATAAATGCATCCTGTACATGTACCCATAACTGTAATACTAATACAGTGTAGCTATTGCCCATACGATATTGGTATTTATAAAATTGAAAGAAGCAACTGAACACGACTCTTATTTTACATTAGTCCTTACTGCATTCAATCCATGACCCTTACAAGTGCAATATTCACAATAAAAAATGAAAATATGTTCATGATATTAAGAATATAGTCAATTGTTAAATTAGATTATACAATACATGTAACGTTACAGCATGTCCGAGTTTGTGTTCTTTGCTAACTTCAAAGTATTGTAGTGTGGCTAGAATAACTATATTATCTGGTATTTGTTAAGAATCCACACACCAAGATAGATTGAAATCCATAGTTTTTTGTTCCTGGATGCAGGACATTCAGGGACAGGTTATCTGTCCCATTTATATTGTCCTTGTGTACGTGAATAAACATTACCAATTTACTTATTTAGTATTCCTAAATGCCTCGACGTCTGTACCGTATGCCTGACAAGACCGGGAGGTGAACGAAGGTTTCCAGAACGAAATGTATTTTAAATTAAGCTAATTTAGATTTAGGCTCGAAATAGGTAAACGCTGGCTTGGAAACAGAGTAGTGGATGAATGGAACCAGTTACCAAACTTAATCATTAACTCGATGATATATGAGCAATAGGGGTTGGGTGTAAATGGGACTGCCCAGTATGGGACAATAGGCCCGCTGCAGTTTCCTCCATTCTTATGTACTTATATGTGTTGTGTAGCTGAACACTTATTTAAGGTAATAAAAAGATGGGAATCCAGTTGATTACCTGAAAATTATAATAAAACTCCACAATTAGTTGTCAGCCCACGACACCTCCCTTAGCTATTGACAATTCACCTCACTTAGTTTTCCATCACATTTCCTCTTAGTTGGCGCTAGTTTTCCACTAGAATTTTAAGAATAGCACTAGAAAAGTAGGTAAATGTTCTAATTGTACTAATACTCTACTATTATTGAAAAAGGAATCAACTATTGCTCCGTTGTACACTCGCTAAAAGATTATTCTTCACCTTTAAGGGTTATATAATATGACACACCGTTGTGGATGGTTTCAGAGCCAAAAGTGCAGAATATTTTTTAAGGGGTGTACACTCGAAGACAAAAGTCGTGTCGCGATTTTGTCCGAAGATTAAATATAACTCGTGAAACATTATGAGAGCCCCCTACCACAAGGCAGATCAAACCCAAAATTTTAGTCCTTCGGCATATGTTTTCACCAAATTTCACGATAAGACTTTTGTCTTTCATTGCACATCAGTGTTGGTGATGACAGGGTAGGCTGTTGGTGGCTTACATAGATAATATCAACAATGTAGGAATCGTATTCAGAACATAAATAAAATTTAACTAACAACAGGATTATCCCCATGAGTCATTGGTGGATCTGAGTAAAGACCTCTTTGGACAGGTCAGGATTACCGTTAACTAAGCCGTACCGTTAATTGGGTTTACAGCCAGACAGACGCCAGCATGAAGTGAGAGACACACTAAGACGGCGAAGACAATTAAGGTGTTATCCTATGGCGCCATATCTAAGGTATGCCTTTATGTGGCGGAAATGACAATACGTTAATTAGACGGCAGTCCGTCATCGAGCAGCAGCAAGCTACCGAGGTTCTGTGCTCGGGCTGAGCCTGTCTCTGTTGCGTCGCGTTGGTCGTGCTGCTGGGGAGACTGTAGTAACATGAGAAAATAAGGAGTCTGCAATAGGCCGGTCGAGAGTTACTACCACTCTCTATCATCCATGAATCTATCCAGCCTCCTTTTAAAACTTTCCAGCGTTCCAGCTAAACCTAAGCTCATCCAACTTAAATCCGTTGCTACGAGTCCTATCCCGCTCGGATATTATAAGAACTTTATCTATATCTCCTTTATTGATTCCTTTCCCCCACTTAAATACTTCTATCATATCTCCCCGCACTCTTCGTCTTTCTAGGGAATGCAAGTTTAGTTTCTTTAATCTATCCTGATATGGAAGGTTTCTAAGTCCCGGAATCATTTTCGTTATTCTTCGCTGCACCGACTCCAGTGAATTGATATCCATTCTATAATAAGGGCACCAGAACTGAACCGCATAATCGAGGTGCGGCCTGACTAGCGCAAGATATAGTTGCAATATGACCTCAGCACTCTTATTACTTACACTTCTTGACATAAAACCTCCCTGAGATTAGGACGCAGTGTGTACACTAAACTTGCATTTGTTTAAATATGAAACAAACACGTAGGTGTAGCTACAGATGTACAGTTGTTAATATGTTAATGGGTTCATACCTGAATAGCCTGGCTGTTTATATGTAGCTGTCCCAGCGTTGAAAATATTGTGTTGGAGACCAAACGGATTTTTTTAAGCAATTGTGATTCTATAATAAAAATCACTCATAGTATATACGCTTATGCAGCGAGACAATCCCCGTCCTCCAGTATGTATCACATCGTGAGTTATTGCGAAAACTATCCATTCAATAACTGGTGCATTAGTACCTGTTAGTGCCAGTGTGCCGTTTGACTTCTGTATAAAGACTTGTTAACTATAGACCTTGGGTAACTCTGTTGAGACGAGACCACACCGTCTCCCGTCACAGCCTTACTAATGCTTACACGTCACTCCAGAACAAACTGATGTAATAGATTTGCCGATTCATAACCTGTGCGACTTACAGTACCCTTCCTCTCTTGTGAAGGATTCAATTAATTCCATTTTGTGAATGTCTTCTCATTTTTTATCTGCCCCACACTTGTTGCTGATAAGGTTATTGTCAGTCTGGCAGTGAGGGAGGAGGAGGAGGGGCGTGTCAGGGTGCAGGGAGGGGGTGCCAACCACCAGTGCCCTGAACCAGTGTCATCAGTGTAGGCGAACGTAGGGGTGCGTCGCAACTCCACTGACATTCCTGTGTTGAAACAAGTGAGCTGTGCTGTGTTATGAGCCACGGGCCAAAGAAATCTGTTCAGCTAATCACAAGGGATCAAACTTTATGTGGGGGAAGGTCATAGCCGTCCTGTTACGTTCAACAATCAGTGAAGTTCTCAATAGTATAAATGTTTTGTTTATTAAGAATGTTGGCAGTGTACTGTCATGGGATTAATGTTTTATTTCTACACTCAGTATCATGTATAAACTGAGGTTGTTCTTTAGTTTAGAGAAAGGAGATGATAGTGGTGACATCAGAGCAGGAGGTAAGTCATAATCTAAAGGAATTTGAAGATAACAAGTATGAGGTGGGGACTACTGTGACGGAACCCAACCCTACTTTCCATCTTATAAACTCATTCAAATCTACCATAAATCAGTAACTTATGTATACGTCAGGCTCTTGAGTTCGATATATATATATATATATATATATATATATATATATATATATATATATATATATATATATATATATATATATTCTGTTGGTAACGAGGACGATGGTCGCCACATACAATCATCAGAATGGATAATGTACTACAGTGTTTTAGAATGAACAGAAGATAAAATATGCCAGAAAATAATTGACTGGTGCAAAATTCGTAGTCAAGTCACAGGCCTTTGATTTACGAGGTTTTCATTTTTTCGTATTTTTAATGTTTCTTCTATATACCAGGTGAAAAAACACAAACCTCCAATATATTAATGTCATATTTCAGGTATTTTTCATTCCATCATATTTATATAGGTTGGACGGATATATGAGTAATAGGGGTTGGGTGCAACCGGGACTGCCTAGTATGGCCCAATAGTCCCACTGCAGTTCCCTCCATTCTTATGTTTTTATACCTGCTTTACTGATGACGTCACTAGAGGCCAGATAACAAAACCCTTACTAATTATTCAATGATCAATAAAAATAAGAGGCGTTTTAAGGTATAAAATAATTTGTATATATGAAAGGTATGTGGTTTGTTTATGTCATGTATATAGCTTATTACGGTCGCCTTTAATCACCTCCAAATGAACATAAGTAGTATATCCTGCACAAGTTAATCTACTGTGTCCTGCAGGATTCGAACCCACGCCACTCAAATGTTAATGAGAGTACACGACCACCGCTCATACTTATATTAAATCCCAGTCGATATGTTCATTTATTTCTTAGTGTAATTGCTTATCTTGATATGAACCCTAGTACACTGTTAGCCTTATCTAGTATATAAATACATTGTTGTCTATGTTTTATGTCCCGACTTATCATCATTCCTTAAACATTCACAGTCGTAATCATCCATATTTACAGAGTTTAATTGGTAGCTCGTCTTCCTCTTCATATTCCCAAGCCATAGAACTTTAAATTCCTCTAAAAGAAATTTCACCATTCACTCGATAAGTTTTTTGTACTGTATGTCTCATTTATTAAATTAACATAATAATGGAGGAAACTGCAGCGAGTCTATTGGCCCATACTGGCAACCCCGTTTACACCCATCGCCTATTGCTCTTATATCCCTCCAACCTATATTTGAAGCTACCCAGCGTTTCGAGTTAATGGAGATAATCGGTGACTTATTCCACTTATTCACTATTATTTTTTCAAACCAGTGTTTACCTATCTCGCTCGTTAATCTAAATTTGTATAATTTAAGCCATTACTACGTGTTCGCTCCTGGTTAGATAGTTTAAGTACCTTAGTTTAACCCTGATTTCCATTTATACACCTAGATCATATCCCACCTCACTCTAGGACTCTCGAGTGAGTGTAAATTAAGATGTTTTTAGCCTGTCTCCCTACTCAAGTAGACAGATCGTGTGGAGTGGGGCGTGGGGAATGAGGGGAGGCGAGGAGATGGGTTGGAGATGGTGGAACCGTGGTGTGAGGGTATGAAGGTATGTTGGGGTGAGGGAGGGGTAGGGGTACGGGTATGTGGGAAGATTCTTATTTCTGTCTTAACATTTACAAAAGAATTTTCCTTTTTTTGTGTTAATCTTTGCGGAATATTTTATTTTTGCTAATATGGATATATTATTGTTATCCTTCCAGTATGAGAGAAGCCATGAAATACATTTGCTTTAATAAAATGTTACAGATTAGTTCACACGAAAAAAAAACAGTATTTCGATCCAAGGTGTCGGTGAAGTAGAAAAACTTAGTCAAAAACACTAATAAATGATATGAAAACGAGGTTGGTTGAGGGTCACAGAAAAAGTCACATTTTATTTCAATATCATTAACAATTAAAGTAATAAAATAGATTGGGATAGGTTCTGACTATTTTGTGACGATGGCCAGAAAGACGATTGCCACATGCACAATTATAGCTAAAAATCCTCCATGCATCACAAATCCTATTAAAAATCATGTGTTTGCTATGGAATATATTACGAATTATATCAGGAATAGCAAATTCCTCATAAATTTGATCATAAGAACATAAGGAGTCTGCAATAGGCCGGTTGGCCTGTGCATGGCAGCTCCTGTCGAGAGTTACTACCACTCTCTATCATCCATGAACCTATCCAGTCTCCTTTTGAAACTTTCCAGCGTTCCAGCACTTACTACATAGTTGCTAAGCTTGTTCCACTCGTCCACCACCCTATTTGTGAACCGGTTGCTTCCTATCTCCCTCCTAAACCTAAACTTATCCAACTTAAATCAGTTGCTTCGAGTCCTATCCTGCTCGGATATTATAAGAACTTTATCTATATCCCCTTTATTGATTCCTTTCACCCACTTAAATACTTCTATCATATCTCCCCGCACTCATCGTCTTTCTAGGGAATGCAAGTTTAGTTTCTTTAATCTATCCTGATATGGAAGGCTTCTAAGTCCCGGAATCATTTTCGTCATTCTACGCTGCACCGACTCCAGTGAATTGATATCCATTCTATAATAAGGGCACCAGAACTGAACCGCATAATCGAGGTGCGACCTGACTAACACAAGGAATGTTTTGTTATAAAGATTATTGACCTAATTAAATGACCTCACTATTCCCACCTGTTTTAGTATTGACACTATTATGAGGTCATCTGACATCTAGCAACCTGACCTGAGGTCAGGTGAATATTCAACTGGTCTACCTGACTTACTGACTGAATACAACTGAATAACATGTAACTAGTACATTAATAACAATTACATTAATAGTATTCACAACAGTAAGAATAAAGATTAAAATAATAATCTTCGGGTGCTACTACAGTGAGCGGTCTACCGAGCTGGAGTTGTGTCTACCGGGATATTTACACTGTAGCATCTATTAACATAGCTTGGTAGACCGCATACTATAGTAGCTCCATTCTTCATTTGTTATTCCTAATATAAATATAACAATCTTATAATTCATCTCAATATAATTCATATTTTATTCCTATTATAAATTAGTTTTTCAAATAGACTTTGTGAGGTGGCAAAATCCGCACAGGAAAAAACGATCGAACATAGGGGAATCGTCCAAATAGGATGACCTACCCGAGGACCAGTAGGAACCTGGCAGCCGACCCCACACTATGACCACCAACCTCTTACTTAATAAAAAGTCAAACACTTCTATATAGCTCTGACTCTCGGGGTGTGGGAGTGGGGTTACGTGGGTGTAAAGGTGTGGGATGTAGCGTGGGGATTAAGAATATAGGAAAGGAGGAAACGGCAGCTATCCATACTAGACAGCCCCGTTTACACCCTGGGCAAAGTTGAGGGTAAGAAGGCCAGGGGAAAGCAGAGACTGGGATGGAAGATTTAATTTAAAAACTGGGTCCCCAGAGTTACACAAAATCATGAAGGATTGGTAAAAACAGCCCAAGAACGTTTGGAGTGGAGGACTGTGGTCGCCAACCCCCAGATTAAAAGGAAAGCATTCTGATTTACTGATCTGTTATAGCGTTACACTCCGAGGAACAGTAACGGATATATACGCGTCATGATAATAAGGACAGTGAAAATGTTAAACCAGGCTGCACAGGTTATTTGGAACGTTAACTGGTCCCAGGTAAGTGAGTTTTGAAATATACTTGCTCGGATTTTTTTTTTTTTATTATCCGATTTTTTTTACGGAGAAGTTAAATAAATGGGACTGTCCAGTATGGGTCAATTGGCCCGCTGCAGTTTCCTCCATTCTTATATTCTTAAATATTCAAATTTATTGTGTGCATTAACTCTCGGGTCACTCGCCTAAATGGTGTCAGTAGCGGTAACGCTTGCCATGTGATGTCATAACTCTTGTCACAGTTATTCAGTTTTATAGAATTTATATCTAATTCGTGAAGGATAGAGTCAGGCAAAAGTTGAGTTGAATGTTTAGCCGAAGTTCATTATTCATAGGAAAAATTTTGCACTTTGCGGAAATACAGTGTCTAATAGAAGAAGCAGAAGTTAGGTAACGCTTGCGAAGTTAGGTAGCATTAGCGGTAGTTAGGTGGTGTTAGCGGAAGTTGAGAAGTGTTAGTTGAAGGACGAAAGAAATGAGCTCCTGGGAGTGGGAGAGACCTACCACCGATTCCCACCTACACCAGCTGGGGAGGAGAGGGATGCCGCGACACTCGACCTTGACCAACCCGACCGGTAATTGTCGACATTACACCACCACAGCACCAGCCACCTCCTCACAAATGCACTCTCTCTCTCTCTCTCTCTCTCTCTCTCTCCTTCTGTTACTATATCCATCTATCCATGCATCAGTACTTGTATCCAATAATATATTCATTAAAGCTAATATTAATACACCCATCCAATCATTCATGATAATCTATCTTCCCATCTGCACCATTCTCCTCGCATAGTACTTTCCACAAACGTCAGTGTCATCCAAATCAAACTGTAAGACGTCGAGGCACGTTGTGTGTGACCAACAAACCAACACTAGTAAAACTCGACAACCAAGACAAGCTTCAAGTAACATTGTGTTGTCAGTAAACGGTCGTGTCGTGATGTGTTTTTTATTGAATTATTGTCTTGTATACATAACTCCTGTAGTCGCACGAGTGTTCTGCGCCACACCACCATTGCTAGGATTCTCAGAGGTTTGGTTGTTCGGTATTTGTTTATGTGGAACGTATTTAGGTTTGGTAGAGTATTGGTTATCGTTAGGGTTAAGGGCGCAGTACACTGGGGGTAAGTCATGGCATTCATGGGTTAAAAACATCGTACAGGAGGGATTGGTTGAGTACTCTGGGGATTAAGCCATCATATTCAAGGAGCTAAAATATCTCAAGTCAGTAACTCAGTAAATTCATTATGATCATGGGATAGTCATTATGGTTAAGTACAACCTACACGCTCTTTAGATCTGTGTCTATACTTAATATCTTCGTTAAGCCAGTTAAATACGCTATTACATTTCTAGTCAGAAGAATAATTTAACTTAGAACACTTTGTGAATCTGAACACAGAAATCTAGGGACCCTTGTATATACATGTCCCACCATCCACACTTTTGTTGATGTTGTTCCAGACGTAAGTTGGGTTTCCACAAACCATTCACCGTAATATCGCATAAGAACTTCGATTCTTCTGGGAACAGAAGGTCTATCTTGATATTGGAATCGCTTAGCCAAAAGTCTTAGCAATTCTGCAGCCTGTGGTTCCTGGACTTCGGGATTGAAATATCCACGCGTCCCAGGAGTCCAAATTAAACCACAAAAAGTGCTAATAAAAACAACAGTGAAAATAGGATTTTTTTTGGGGGGGAGGGTGGATTCAATCACGTGGTCATATTGCTCTGAGGTGATGCAACAGACGGGTTGATCCCAAACAAACAGGTCAAGAGGAAACATGTGTGGTAACACGTGTTTTCCCTCAGGTAATGGGATTAATATTTCTCACCATCCCCACCACTTATTGACCTGACCTCATCTTTCTTTTTCTGTACATTTCAATTGTTTCTCTTTAAGTTTTTGCTCACTTCTTCATTCGTTTTCCTCCAGTGTAACTTTTTAACATTCACCAACAGTATAACACCACATTTCAAAGGCCTCCAACTTCTTCTGGTGTCTGCTGAAAGTATTCACCACAGTCATGACCATACATACCCTTTCAGCAGCCTTTTTCTTAAATTAAAGTTAATGTTCCCTTTGTATTAGGACGTTTAGATTAATGAGTGCTTTTTTGTTTGCCTCATTCTTGTTACGATTTCTTTCACACATCTACCGTCACAGCTAACGTTCCTTCCCAAATACATAAAATGCTCTACTTTTAAAGTTCCTTGTTGCCTACCATAATTTTTATTTAAAGGGTATATTTCAAATTTGGAAACAATTATCAATTTCGTCTTCATAGCATTAATTCTTAAACCATATTCTTCACCCTTTTCCACTAATCAATTAACCAGTTTTGGTAACGCCTCTTTATTATCTATGATAAGAGCAGTATCATCTACCTTGAGCAGAGGCGAACCCAGGGATGTCTTGGGGTTCGTACCCCACCCCTTTCATCAGAAAAGTCCAATACTTTTACTTTAATGCAGTATTGTACTCAGTCGTGTTTGTATAGTGAAATCGTAAAAAGCAATTACTATTAACCTCATAATATCGCCTAATATCAAGTGAACATGGCGTCAGAATGCCCACGATATTGGTCATATTTCAAAAAATTTCTGGGGGCTTACAGCACCTCTCCCCCTCCTCAAACCACCCAGCTGGGTGGGCTCGCTGCGCTCGCCATGTTCCCTCCCCACCCACAACTTCTTGGACCGCCCCTTTTGATATGCCTGGGATCGCCCTTGTAGAGTATATTCGATATTACGTAACCATTGCTTCATTGTCACTTCGAATTTATTCTGAATACACAATATACTATACACTGTTAAAGACAGAACACAGCCTTGTCTTACTCCGTGTCTAACCTTGAACCAATTAGTATGTTCATTATTTACTAACACTGCAGCTTCCGGTTATCAATTTAATGAGTTTTCCATTTTAATTTTTTTCCAAATCAACCAAACAGATTAAAAAAAGGTGTCTTAAAGATCAGTTTTGTTCCACTTATTATCAGTCAAATATCAAGTAAACACTTTTTGTATTACTTAGCAAAGTTTAGGATAATCGTTAAATCAACTACAAGTCTTGCGTACATAAACCAGCTCTAAATAACACGGGGGACTGTATCCCCCCCCTCCCACGCAAAACTCATTCAGTCAAATCCCCTCCCTGACGAAAATTTACTTATGAATTTAATAAAACAAATTAAAAACATCCCATTAACTACTGTTACGAAAAAACATTATTTTATAAGTTAAAAAAAATATCTTATAAGCTGTGGTTAGATTGTCTGAAAATGTGTAATTGTATGATTGACAGGCTTGACAACGCTTAACGTAGGCTAACACCCACCTGGTACAGCGTTTGACCACACCACCACCACACAATATCCAGGGTTTTGTGTGTGTGTGCTATGTGGTGTTGGTGTGTGTGTCTGGAGAGAGATAGATAGACGGAGCATGACCAACAAATTTTCCATATTATGAGATCTCTTTCAACAACAATTTCCTCGCGGTGTTGCGAAACACTGACAAGGAGGATGCTGGCGGTTGGAGCCACAGCTGCGCTCCTAACAACACAACGCCCCTAAGTACACTACCCCTCCCTCAACACTTCCCAAGTCGGAAAACTATACACCCCCCCCTGTATAGCGACGACCAGGAATACATACACAGAAATACAGAAAAAATTAGACACCGTAAAAATAAAAAAAAAGACAAATTATATTACAAAATACCAAAATAAGTACACAAAATATAAATTATATAAGAACATAAGAACATAAGAAAATAAGGAGTCTGCAATAGGCCGGTTGGCCTGTGCATGGCAGCTCCTGTCGAGAGTTACTACCACTCTCTATCATCCATGAATCTATCTAGCCTCCTTTTAAAACTCTCCAGCGTTCCAGCACTTACTAAAAAGTTGCTAAGCTTGTTCCACTCGTCCACCACCCTATTTGTGAACCAGTTCCTTCCTATCTCCCTCCTAAACCTAAACTTATCCAACTTAAATCAGTTGCTACAAGTCCTATCTTGCTCGGGTATTATAAGAACTTTATCTATATCGCCTTTATTGATTCCTTTCACCCACTTAAATACTTCTATCATATCTCCCCGCAATCTACCTCTTTCTAGCGAATGCAAGTTTAGTTTCTTTAACCTATCCTGATATGGAAGGTTTCTAAGTCCCGGAATCATTTTCGTCAGTCTTCGCTGCACCGACTCCAGTGAATTGATATCTATTCTATAATAAGGGCACCAGAACTGAACCGCATAATCGAGGTGCGGCCTGACTAACGCAATATATAGTTGCAATAAGACCTCTGCACTTGTATTACTTACACTTCTAGATATAAAACTTAATACTCTGTTTGCCTTATTTCGAACATTAACGCACTGTTTTCTAGGCCGTAGTTCCAGGCTTACAGGTACCCCTAAGTCTCTTTCACAAGTCGACCTTTCTAGGTTGATGTTGTTAAGGCTGTATACGTTGACAGTATTTGTTCTACCAATATTAAGTACGCTACACTTGCTGGTGTTGAATTTCATTTGCCATTTCTCTGACCACCCCTGCAGTTTATTTAGATCCTCCTGTAGTGCATTTGCATCCTTCCCTGAAATAATCTGCCGCCCTATTTTGGTGTCATCCGCAAACTTGCTTATGGCACTGCTGATCCCACTATCTAGATCGTTTATATAGATTATGAACAAGAGTGGGCCCAGTACTGACCCCTGGGGAACCCCACTGGTTACACAGCCCCACTCAGATTTGACACCATCTACGCTGACCCTCTGTGTTCTATCGGTGAGCCATGATTTTATCCAATTTAAAACTTTCCCCTCGATACCATGAGCATTAATTTTTCTCAGAAGCCTCTGATGTGGTACTCTGTCAAACGCTTTGCTAAAGTCCAAGTAATTAACATCGTAATTATCGTCATTATCTACTACCTCGAATTCTTTTCTAAAACACGTCAGCAGATTTGTTAGACAATATTTTCCCTTTGTAAACCCATGTTGAGAGTCGTAGATTAATTTACTTTTCTCTAAATGCGATCGAATGCTATTTGCTATAATTGATTCAAGAAATTTCCCCACTACTGACGTCAAACTAACCGGCCGGTAATTTGACACTGATGTCCTGTGACCCTTTTTGAATATGGGTACTACATTTGCCTGTTTCCACAAGTCTGGCACAACTCCCGTGTCTAATGATTTTGTAAATAAATTTACGAGGGGTCCGCTAATCTGTTCCTTACACTCTTTCAAAACTCGAGGGAAAATTTCATCCGGCAGTGCAACAGATGATGGTGGTAAAACTCACAGGTGGAATAGCTGCTAAATTATCAGAATTTTGCCCGACTACCTCATGCAGCCGAAATGGTAGGAGGAGGTTTCTATTTATGAAAATTGATGATAATAAAAAATAAAAAGATAAATATAAAAAAGGAGGTAAAACAAGTGAAGCCATAAAGAAAAAGAGGAGACAGTCAAACACAAAAATGAGAGGAAGGAAGTTGGAAAATAATAAAAGAAAGGGAAGAGAGGATGATACGATGAAATATAAAAATAATGAAGGAATAAGAGGGGGTGGGGTGGGGGGTGGAAGTAGACGACAGAGCCATACAGATGAGCCACATCACAGCTCTGGTCCATGAACGTGGGCGGGCATCACTTTAACTGGCATCAGTCTTTGTGTGTACCTTGTTTGTGTATGTTTGTGCGTGCATGCATGAGCCCGTGCGTGCATATATGTGTGTGTGTGTGTGCGTGTTCATTATCATCATCTTGCCTTTGAACTACTCCTGCCTCTATTTTCCACCATTCTTCTGACAGTTGTTTTTTCTCTAGATATTTTCAGTTGAGGATCTACTTCGTTATGCTGTTGTTGTTGCTGCAATAAGACTTAACCACCGCCAGAACAAGTTCTCTCCTCTCCTCTAATACGCCTGTCCAGCACTTCAGTTTGAGTTATTTCCAATTACTTATTTTTTTTTATCTTCCCGGGTTCCTGTATAATTTTGTGTGTTATGGATGAATGCCACACCCATATTATTCGTACATCATAACAGGGATATATAAATATATGACAGACACGGAAACACCCGCCCACTGGCCAGGAGAGGCACCAATTTTTCCTTGTGTGCTTGCGTGCTGACACGAAACATCATTGTGCCAGCAACTTGAATAAACAAATTTATTTCCTCAATTTTAGGCAAATAAAAATCCTGCTTCGAAAGACAAGGTTTTTTGGAATAAGTATAAACACAGCACATAAGAAAATAAGGAGTCTGCAATAGGCCGGTTGGCCTGTGCATGGCAGCTCCTGTCGAGAGTTACTACCACTCTCTATCATCCATGAATCTATCCAGCCTCCCTTTGAAGCTTTCCAGCGTTCCAGCACTTACGACAAGGTTGCTAAGCCTGTTCCACTCGTCCACCACCCTATTTGTAAACCAGTTCCTTCCTATCTCCCTCCTAAACCTAAACTTATCCAACTTGAATCCGTTGTTCCGGGTCCTATCCTGCTCGGATATTATAAGAACTTTATCTATATCACCTTTATTGATTCCTTTCACCCACTTGAATACTTCTATCATATCTCCCCGCATTCTTCGTCTTTCTAGGGAATGCAAGTTTAGTTTCTTTAACCTATCCTGACATGGAAGGTTTCTAAGTACCGGAATCATTTTCGTCATTCTTCGCTGCACCGACTCTAGTGAATTGATATCCATTCTATAATAAGGGCACCAGAACTGAACCGCATAATCGAGGTGCGGCCTGACTAGCGCAAGATATAGTTGCAATAAGACCTCTGCACTCTTATTACTTACACTTCTAGATATAAAACCCAATACTCTGTTTGCCTTATTTCGAACATTAACGCACTGTTTTCTAGGCCGTAGGTCCGGGCTTACAAGTACCCCTAGGTCTCTTTCACAAGTCGACTTCTCTAGGTTGATGTTGTTAAGGCTGTATACATTGACAGTATTTGTTCTTCCAATATTAAGTACGCTGCACTTGCTTGTGTTGAATATAATTTGCCATTTTTCAGACCACCCCTGCAGTTTATTTAGATCCTCCTGTAATGCATTTGCATCCTGCCCTGAATTAATCTGCCGCCCTATTTTGGTGTCATCCGCAAACTTGCTGATGTCACTGCTGATCCCAGTATCTAGATCGTTTATGTAGATTATGAACAAGAGTGGGCCCAGTACTGACCCCTGGGGAACTCCACTGGTTACACGACCCCACTCAGATTTAACACCATCTACGCTGACCCTCTGCGTTCTATCGGTGAGCCATGATTTTATCCAATTTAAAACTTTCCCCTCGATACCATGAGCCTTAATTTTTCTCAGAAGCCTCTGATGCGGTACTCTGTCAAATGCTTTGCTAAAGTCTAAGTAAATAACATCGTAATTTTCGTCATTAACTACTACCTCGAAGACTTTCCTAAAAAATGTCAGCAGATTTGTTAGACAAGATTTTCCCTTTGTAAACCCATGTTGGGAGTCGTAGATTAATTTGCTTTTCTCTAAACGCGATCGGATGTTATCTTCTACAATTGGTTCAAGAAATTTCCCCACTACTGACGTCAAACTGATCGGCCGGTAATTTGACGCTAATGCTCTGTCTCCCTTTTTGAATATGGGTACTACATTTGCCTGTTTCCACAAGTCTGGCACAACTCCGGTGTCTAATGATTTTGTAAATAAGTTTACGAGGGGTCCGCTAATCTGTTCCCTACACTCTGTTTGTGGGTCAGATCATAACGAGAGCAGATTTGAAAAGGTGTGGTTATGACGACCTCAGTGATCAACATCAGAGTGAGATCAGGTCAGGTTTTTGCGTCACCTCAACCAACTGCTGCACCACACTTAAGCAACACACGTCAGAATGGAAGAAACTGCAGCTGGACTGTTGGCCCATAGTAGGCAGGGCCGTTTACACTCGACCTCGATAGCTCATATATTTGTTCAACTTATATTTTAAGCTTCCTAGCGCGTTCGAGTTATTGATGATGTTCGGTAACTTGTTCCACTCATCCACTGCTCTATTTCCAAACCAGTTTTTACTTATCTCACGCCTAAATCTAAATTTGTCTACTTTAAAACCATTGCTACAAGTTCGCTCCTAGTTGGATAGTTTAAGTACCTTTGTTTTATCACCTTTTCACATTTGGTTAACCCTGACTACCATTTATACACAAACTATATCGCCTCTCACTCTACATCTCTCGAGGGACACTCTACAACTCTCGAGGGAGTGCAACTTCAGATGCTTTAATCTGTCTCTATACTTAAGGTTCCTAATGCCCGGGATTAGTCTCGTCACCCTCCTCTGTATGCTTTGTTGGGATTCGATATCCACCCAGAAGGGTAAAATAGACGAAAAAAATTGTCAGAGTAAAGTACTTTTGTTGGTTTTCAGGTTACGACAGGAATGTAACCTCAGTTAACCCAAGGCCCCGAGGACCTCACTTTCCAGGTGTGTAGAGATGTCACTGTATGTGTTGGCGTGTTGTGTGTCTACTTCCGAACTCTTTGACTCACACTGGTGACGATGGCAATGGATATCGATAGCAGTTACTGTGATAATATATTAATACATACGCCTGTCTTTTAGTGTGAATCTCTATAACAAACTTGATATTCACTCTAAAATTAATCACCTGAGTATATCACATGTGAGCTATAGAAGGATCATCTGAAGAATCTTTACCTCAGTTTTTTCACCTAAGGTTCACCAGGATTAACCGGTACTAGGAAAAAATGACAACCGGAAAAAATGGCACAGGAAAATATGGCATAGGAAAAAATGGCACAATTTTCATACTAGGAAAAAATGGCACAACAAATTTCACTTCGAGTTCACGAACCACAAACGAATTTACGAGCTAACGAACCTGTATTTGAAGCTATCCAGCGTATTCGAGTTAATGATGATGTTTGGTAACTTGCTATATCACCTTTGTTTAGCCCTGACTTCCATTTACACACCTCGATCGTATCTCGTGTTTCAGTTTGATACATATGAAAGAATCCCTTGGGGTTTGACTTCGCCTCACTTGCTACCTTCAGTTCATTATTCCTCTTTCCTTTTCTTATCTCGGTCTTAACCCTACTGGCCAATACTTTATAATAATCTCGAAGGTAAACTTCACCACGATTTATTGTCCTACTTATAGCCTTCCTTTGTCCAATAACGTTCTTTAAATAATTGTTTATCCATTTGGTGGTCATTGTTGTTTGATCTGAATTTTCTATATGTTATGTTCTGCCTTTGTGCATGAAGTAACTCAATATTCAAATTGTTGTGGAACTCGTCAACCACAGATCTCGTGATCAGGTCATCCTCAACCGTCGTATTTTGCGAGGTTATCGTTGTCATGTTCACTTGGTAAAGTGAGGTCGTCCTCTGTGGGTACATTGTGTTGGGTCACCTCACGTGAGGTCATGTTTTATGTTATGACGTTCATATAACTCTAAGTAAGTTTCAGTAACAAACATTGTAAAATTTTAACGAAAACATGTCATTAAAAATTAATATGGCACTTTTTCCTTGTCTGATGATGATGCCTTTCTTCCGGTGCCATATTTTCCTATTGGCATTTTTTCCTGTGCCATTTTTTCCTACATTCGGATTAACCACCCAAGCACTAACCTAACCTCACCCCCTCATAGCTTTAGGTGAAATGAGCTAGGGTGGAGATTGTGTGACCTGTAAGTAGGTCAAGTTTTTTAAAGATAAAATTAGAAGTTTTCCTTGAACTTATATTCCTATCCTCCCATCTCCCCAAGACTCCTTATCATCGAATGTAGGAAAAAATGGCACCGGAAAAAAGGGCAAGTTAGTGGTTCGTGAACTCAAGTGGAATTTGTTGTGCCATTTTTTCCTAGTATGAAAATTGTGCCATTTTTTCCTGTGCCATAATTTCCTGTGCCCTTTTTCCGGTGCCATTTTTTCCGAGTACCTTATCGTCATGTTAGGACTTTATCATCTGTCAGCTTTGATTACGATTATGCGGTATACTGGACGAGAGGTTACTTGGAAAAAAACGGCTCTGGAAAAAATTGCAAAACATGTCAACTGTAATAGGTGCCCGGCAAACCCCCCCCCCCGAGTTAAAGTGCAAATTACGACAAAAGCATCCCATTTTTTATTATTAATATTTAATTAAAAAAATATATTAATGTTTCTCAGGGAGCATCAGATGTTCTAGTTGTCACGCTCCTCCACCAGGAAGTACGTGCGTGCATTTGAGAGAGAGACTACCATATTCCTTATCATAACCCACAATATTTATGACCTTTTAATGTATCTCACTTTGACATTTCACATGACCCAAATGATCCTTGACTCCTAAACTCTCCCAGAAAGCTTAGCCAAGGATCCTTCATTACTCTCCCTGACCACGGTAGCATATCCTAACTTTTGACCTCCGACACATTTTTTGACTCAGGGTGCAATAAGTTCCGCCTCTCACATGACCACAGTAGTTTTCCGTAAGTTTTAACCTTTCTTGCGTCCTCTGGCCTCTTCCAGGATGAGCACTCGGCGGCAGCTCTCATGGCGGGCGCGGCAGGGGAGTCAGCGCTTGAGGGAGGGCAGCCGCCGCGCCGCTGTCAATTGCTGGGGGGACTTCGTCAACCCACAACTTGTGCCGCTTAAGATTACCTTCTTTATCATCATGGGCGGTACGTAGCCAACCCACACCACGGTAAGTAACCAACCCAATTCACGGTCAAAAGGCAACCCACGTCTCAGTAAGTGCGGTAGCTAACCTTAAGCTTCCTCTCGGTAAGCAGGCATAAAAATATAAGGAGTCTGCAATAGGCCGGTTGGCCTGTGCATGGCAGCTCCTGTCTAGAGTTACTACCACTCTCTATCATCCATGAATCCATCTAGCCTCCTTTTAAAACTCTCCAGCGTCCCAGCACTTACTACAAAGTTGCTAAGCTTGTTCCACTCGTCTACCACCCTATTTGTGAACCAATTCCTTCCTATCTCGCTCCTAAACCTAAACTTATCCAACTTAAATCCGTTGCTACGAGTCCTATCCTGCTCGAATATTATAAGAACTTTATCTATATCTCCTTTATTGATTCCTTTCACCCACTTAAATACTTCTATCATATCTCCCCGCACTCTTTTTCTTTCTAGGGAATGCAAGTTTAGTTTATTTAATCTATCTCAATATAGAAGGTTTCTAAGTCCCGAAATCATTTTCGTCATTCTTCGCTGCACCGACTCCAGTGAATTGATATCCATTCTATAATAAGGGCACCAGAACTGAACAGCATAATCGAGGTGCGGCCTGACTAGCGCAAGATATAGTTTGCAATATGACCTCCGCATTCTTATTGCCATGCCTCGGTACATAATCATCCCACACCTCGGTGAATAGTCAACTTAAGCTATAGTAAATGGCTAGCCAACACCTCCAGAGACAGCAACGTTAGCCAACCCATGGGTATACGATAGGCAGTCTAAGCTTCCATCAATAAACAGCCCAAGCTCCACAGATAGCCGACCTACGCAACTTTAGATACCATATTTACCCTCCACAGACAGACATCCCGCTCCACTTGAGATAGCCAACCCAAACTTCCAGAGACAGTAACCTTCTATAATGCTAAACATAATAAACTGCTGCCTCCTTCTTAAGTTCGTCAGTCACACAGGGGGAATGGCATTGACCTTATTATATCTCTTGCAGCAACCCAATGCGTGGCACCCTTTACCACCTTGTTGCTGAGGGCGCTGGGACTGACGGTGCAAGAAACGGGGTTCATCTTTACTATTGGGCCCCTCATTCCAGTATTAGCTCCACTCCTAGCCGGCATCATCGCAGACAAGGTCGGCAACTTCAGAGTAAGTTCGCTCACACACATTAACACTTCTGTGCTTAACCTTTCTGTTTTAGGGTCGCTGTAGCAAACATTTTTAACAGATGCACGAGATATCCCGTGTTCATTTAATGCGTTTCGTCTTAATAACTCTTTTGCCTCGCCTCAATGCTTAGATTTTAAAGCAAGTGACTAGACAAATATGTGAGGTTTAGATTATTAATTATCATGTTAAATGTCTTCAATTCGGCTTTGTACCTTCACAGGCAATCGTGTGATCCATTTTCTCACAATTAACTTCTCGGTTATCAGGGTAGATTACTTTACAAGTGCTTTTTATACCCCGTCGTAAAAAAAAAGTCTTTCTAATGAGAAGATAAGAAAAAAATTATGTTTCAGAACTGTTTTCCGTCATACAGTGGTTCTACTTAATCATCTTAAAGCTGCTTTCTGTTTATATTTTTGTATCTATTATATTAATCTGAAGCTGTTAAACTGACCATTCGTAAGTGACATTAATATCCGGTTAATAATCAAGTATAAGAGTGACAAGTTTCTTCAGCAGCCGTAAAAAATATTTTTCAGTTAATGTAAAACATTACCAAACAGACTTTGTTCAATGTTCTTCAACAGTAAACTATGGCAACCTCCCACATGTTTAGTGAGTGGAATGACTTTTAATTTGTATAAACATTCATATACTATTTATGGTCATGAACAAATATTATCCACTATTATCCAGTCATTAATAATACCTAACAGGCGAAGTTACCATCACTGGCTTGTTCTCTCTTGCAGTGTATCCTAGTGTTTACCGTGGCCCTGAGTGGCCTCGTGACCCTGTTCTACCTGGCCATCCCTCCAGCCCGCACCACGCCCAAGTACTCTGCCACTGTCTCCTTCAGCCTCACCTGCGACTCAGATTTCGTCCTCACACTTAACTCCGCGAGGAAAGATAAGGAGAAATGTGACTTCTTCAACAAAACTGTCATATTGCCCTCGGTGGAAGCCAAAGACTGCGGCTACGTGTGCGCTGAGTCAGCCGTCGAGTATCCCGCAAAACTACTAAAAGAAATCAAGCGAATTAAGCTGTTACAGTCGGTCAACAGAACGCTGTATCACATGTGCAAAATACAAAATACCAAAGAGAACGAGAAAATGCCGCAGAAATGCTTCAGGAAAAACCTAAATAAGTCTCGAAGCTACGAGAACATGCCGAAGTCTTTTCAAATCCACAACCTCCTTCTGCCACTGTCGGAGATGAACCGAGAAAACCCAAAGATTTTTGTTGCCAACTATACCATGGCTCCTGAACTGGCCAGGAGCTTGGAGTGCACCAAGGGGCGCGTTCCTAAGGTGATTTCTATCCCAAAGATCACCATATCAGAAGATGGTCCAGAATTTTCAGAGAAGAACGCGCACGTCGTGTGCAACTTCCATTGCCAAGTGTCCGTCATGCACAACCAGACGTGCGAAAAACGTCCACACAGCGAAGTACATGACGTGACGTTGAGCTTCTGGCTCTTCGTTACGGTGAATGTTCTCAGTAAACTTTTCATAGGACTGACGTACACGCTCTTTGAGGTGGCGGTAGTGGCCATCCTGAAGGAGTTTGGCTACGACTACGGCCTGCAGAGGATCTACGGCTCTATCGGCGGCATGGTCTTCGCTCCTCTCTCAGGGTTCTTTATTGACCATTTTGGGAAAGGCGGCCATTACACGGATTATTAGTAAGTGTTTTACCCAGTTACCTCCTAGTGTGGAACTCCATATCATGAGATGATGTTATTTTATAAAGTAAATTTCTATCTTATACAATTATTTATATATTTTAATAAAAACCTAGAAATTCACTCTACAAATCCAACCATAATAACATAACATTGCTACTACTCTTAAAGCAACAATTAAATCAATGTTTCCTACACATTATAATTTCCCACTACAGTAACTCCACCCGTCCTTTGTTAAATAAAGTATAACACAATCAGGTAGGTCAAATATATTGATTCTTTTTTTCTTGTTATCACAGCCTACATTTCTTCTCCTCGCCTCCTCCCTTAAGTTATTCTCTGCTTTCCTATCTCAGCCATTTATCCCTTCTCTCATCCCTATTCTTCCACACTTGTTTCCCTCTTTCTTCCTCTGTATGTATTTGTTATCACTTTTCCTCTTCCCTTTTCTCCCCTATTCTTTTCGTTTTTTTCTCTCTCTGTCTCCATTTGCTCACTCTTTTAACCAGTGAGTCTTCTTTAATAGCGGCTTTACAGATGCACACTGCTGACAACCTCTTTGTCTTCCGTACGCAGCGTGATGTTCATCCTGTACTGCGCCTTGAAGTTGTTATGTGCCCTTCTACTGGTGAAGGTGGATCTGCGCTTCAAGGTGCCCGCCAGGAGCATCTGTGAGAACATGGGCAACCTCTTTAGGAACCTGGAAGTGCTGCTTCTACTTTCCGTAGTCTTCATATCCGGTGAGTGAGTGAGTGACTGAGACAATATTACAAGATAAAAGTAAACAATATTCTCAGTCATTTCACACAATGTTTATCCCTTTAATACCGTCAAGCGTCCCTCCCCCTACAGGCATGTGTTATGGGTTTATCGAGAACTTCCTGCCGTGGCACCTACGTGACTTAGGGGCCAGCAACTGGTTCATCGGCCTCCTCACCACTATTGCCTCCATCGCCGCCCTTCCCTTCCTCGCTTGCTCTGGAATCATCTGCAAGAAGTTCGGCAATTTCCAGTCCATCGCATTTGGTCTTCTTTGCTATTCCATCCGCTGCATCGGTGAGTGTTGGTGGGGCGTCTCAAGATGATAGTGAATGTAGATGATGGTGGTTGTCCGTAGATGATGGTGGTAGTGGATGTAGATGGTGGTGTTGAGTATAGATAATGGTGGTAGTATTGGGTTTAGTGTACAGTATAGGGTGTTGTTAGTTACAATAAACCCTCTAATAAAACATTAAAACCAGACAGCCGCTAAAACAGGAAGGCCAAACAAACACTAAAACAAGAAAAACAAACAGCCACATTACACTTTCGTTGCTTGAACAAACCTCTCACGAAAAGAAAAGTTTCCGCCTAGAGGACATCTTGTGTGATGCAAACTGAGAATAATATGTTAATTGATAGAATATTACTTCAAGCTCCGTGGTAAGAGTGGCTGTGTATAGCGGAAGAGAACACTTAGAAGTAACAAAGGAAGAACCGAAGAAAGAACCGTTGTTGGCACAAAGTCTTCACTCTTTTTATCTCGCTTACTGTACCTGTGAAGGCTAACACAATCTTACTCACATCAGCCGCTCGTATGAGGGTGACGAGCTAGCTGGAGGGGAGGATGGTGAAGGAAGAGGAAGTCTTAATGTATGAAAGGTAACTTTGGTAAGATCACAGATAGGTGTTGGGTGTTCATCAGAGGTTGTTAACTACGTACAATGATAGGTACTGTACCATCCACAGCTGTGCGTTGTATATAAAAAGTAGAAAGTACTGTAAATGGCGCTCTCTTTCTCTCTCACACACTTTCGTTATGGTATATTACATTATAAAATATCATATATTATGTTACATTATATTTATTCATTGTACGCGATAAGTTAAGATTTCATACTCATCAGGCTAATTTAATGCAGTCAAGGGATTAAAGTAAACCTTGATTGAACTTCAATATATAAAGTAAAAGAGGATGTACACTCGCTACACAAATTGTCTGCAAGGTGGGGTCTCATGGATGCCAAAATTAAAACTGCGAATCCTGTTGTCTCGAAAGGCTTGTCAAAATCCTCGTATGCTGTGTCATTGTTTAGCAAAAAAAAATGCAAATACTTTTTGTAGTGAGTGTACACCGTATAGACTGGAGTACGGCGGCCGAGTGAATACAGAACTCGTCTCTTATCTTTGAGGACTCTGGTTCTTGATCACGGCACCCCTAGCTTACGAAGTCGTGAATGGGTACCTAATTTTACAGTGCCGACTACACGACCACCTTGCTTACCGAAAAAGAGGAGTCTACTTTATGCTGTGCCTCAACTGCCCCTACTGGGACCTCAAGCCTGCGAGACTCACTTTCACTTGCCAATATAGATTGGTTCAAGTATCATACAATTCCACAGGTCACGAGGTTTCACTTATGTCCTTGAACGAGCGATAAGTGAAGACCGATAAACCAACAGTAAGGACAGCTTGGTGAAGCAACAGTACGAGGGGCCTGGTGAAGCAACAGTATGGGAGGCCTGGTGAAACAACAGTACGGGTGGCCTGGCGAAGCAACAGTACCGGCGGCCTGGTGAAGTAACAGTACGGGAGGCCTGGTGAAGCAACAGTACGGGAGGCCTGGTGAAGCAATAGGAACATGTCACCGTAATAAGTCACTTACGTTAAACGCCAACATGCAACAACGTCTCGCAGGGATGACTGTTGTTGTGGCTCTTTATCGCTGGTCCTCCTCCACATAACAGTCTGGAAAATTTATACATTGGACCGACGTCTTCAATTGGGCGTTTTCTCCTCGTGTAATTTATGGTAATATTCGGTCTGGATCTCCCTCCTAACAGCCTTTTGTTTATCAAGGGCAATGAAGGCGAAAGTCCTTGTAATTGGTTCGTTCTCCGTGTATCTATGTAACTATTTGTCTTAAATAGTTCTCTAGGTGCAGTTATTGTGTCTTTGTTTATTCAGCGGGAGTTTACGTATCGTGTCACTAGACAATGGCATCGGTTTGCTGTGACTTGGTTATTTTTTTTTCAATATTCTCATTATGATTTTTACACCTTTAAATTGCTACATTTTTGTGTACACTCGAAGTTTCTACATTTCCTATTAGCTCATTAACTGTTGTTCTCGAAATGTCGTTCTAAAAGCTTGCACTATTTTTTTTTTCAGTTTCCAAATGCTTATGTATATAATGAATAGAATGCAAACTGATGGCTGTGCAATGTACAATATTTGTCTTCAACAGAAATTTTTTTTGGTGACATTTATTTCGTGATACCAAACGCCTTACTTAGATCAAGGTTCCTAAAATAGCATAAGAGTATAGGCTGACAACAAATGCGCGCACGCACACACATGCACGCACGCGCGCACACACACACAGCAGCAGTTATAACCAACACGAAGTCTTACATCTCCCACACTTGTCTTCCTTCCTGCAAGAGACACCCTTCGCACCTCAGACCTTGACACACCTCTTTGCTGCTTTTTATATTTCTTTCGTGTAAAATAACCAAAACTTACTTAACACAACGTTCAAGTCTAGTCCTCAAGGTCATGGTGCTACCTCACTTATTTCACCGAATCTTATCATCACAAAGCTTAAGTCTAACCCCCTGATGTCTCCTCGCTTATGTTACTTAACACAAGGCTTAAGTTGACCCTGAAGGTCCTAATGCCTCCTCGCTTATGTTACTTAAACTTACTTATCACAAGGTTAACGTCTAGTTCTGAACATGCTATGTGTATCCTCACTTCTATTATGGAGAAAACTATAGCCTCTCTCCCCAGTCCTCAACCAATCAGAACCACTTGAGGCCATCACGGAGACGGGGCAGCAGGGTTGAGGCTCACACCCACAGCTTGTGTACGCTTCCTCTCCCCATAAAAAGTGTGCCAGCACAAGCAATCAAGAGTGCCTGGCGTTCTTCTACACTCCGCTTTTAGATGATTATTTTTGTATGCTACACAATACTGGCGTTCCCTAGCCTTTCTACTTCCATACTACTGTGGTTTATGTCTAACCTCTTCAACACGTTATAATAAAATCTTAGCATATCGCTCTACGATTAATATAATTAATTTGATAGTAACAAAGAAATGCAGCATTTCAGTGTTCATGGCGCCCAAACCACCTAATTGAGATAATTATATTTAAAGAGAAAACGGTGTCCCTTACCTTGCGTAGCCTAGACCATATCAACCCTATTAGTGCCATCTACGTATTTGGGCTTTCCGAGGTGTTCTCCCTGATTAAGTTAGTCCAATCGTCATTATGACAACTTCTGTAGTTTAAAGCTTTAGAAGAGTCGCCAGTCATCACTATCTTTTATGACCTGTTAATAACTGTTATTTGTGAAGTCGTTCACTTTTAACATATTTCATTGTTCAGTTTTCTTTTAAAACATTTTTAACACTGTAACCAACACATAATACAAATAATAAGAGTCAACTGTTATGCTACCACATCAGGAGCAGCAGCAACTGCTTGTAAGCAAATGACGACTGTCAGCCTGTGACATTAACCTTTTCAAAAGAAATGGGGCTAAAAGGATAAAAACCACGACAAAAACTAAAACACGTCAAGTGCACTTCTAGGGGGTGAATATGGATAATTCTCAAAGTAAGGAATAACTCTTTATTTCACGTTAAATGTCTCTAAAACAGTTAGGTTAGTTGTACAAGAACGACAAAATATCAACAACACTATACACATACTTAAAGAAGTATACATAAGCATTCCCCTCCATTCCTCCAAACACGAAAGATTACCAGAGTAGAAGCGAAAACCTGAGACGAAGATACTATGCGATATACTACATGTATACTTTATGTAGTATGTAACTCGAGGTATCATCAAGCGGGTGCAGCTAACTTTTGTGGAGGAACCATCTGACGTTATTATAAAAGTGACACCAAGAGCACGGAGGTATTGATTATTTTGGCCCTGAGGCTAACGTGTCCCCCTGTCTTCTCATATAAATACCGGGAGCGGCGCCATGATGAGTTAAGTGGCCCGCCTCACCTCCCACCCCCCTGTACACTTGTCTTCTGCTGCCGCTGTTGCTGCTGCTGCTGAATAAAATGTCTCGCCTCACATACACTTAAATGCCATTACACACAAGCATATTTACACGCTGACACATTCTCACGCCAGAATACTAAGGAAGGGAACACCCCCCCTCACCTGTATTCACCACAATGCCTACACAATTCCTACCCTCTCGAACACATCTCCTGCTAGCCAACACCATATATTACACACACACACACACACAACGTGCGCGAACGATGACCATATTTAAGTAGAATTTTAAAGGTGTAAAAACTGCAATCAATTCAACTTTCAAACCCATAGCTGGCAAACCATATAATCTGAAGCCAGTGAACAGGACAACTCAGCAACTACACTGGCTGACCGAGAATACCAGTTCGTTAGCAGATTTATATCCAGGTCGTTAATCACTGATAGATATGTAAGAGGCAAATGACACCGAGACACTTGGCTAGAGGACTACCGTGCCTGAAACTCGAACTCTTGTAGCTCTCACTTGCGACACGAGCGTATTAACCAGTTAATGAATGTGGTTGTCTCTCGTGTTCAAGGCAAGTCTATAGAGGGCCTACAAGGCCATCAAGGTTTGAATTTATTTCAGGTGTAAAGGCAGAAGCTAACACAGCAATCACTTTGAGTTGACGAGCTTTATTACCCATTGTCAAGGAATAATTCAAGAAGACCGGACAACTCCCCAACTGCACTGGCAAACCATTATCACGGAACGCGATCTGCAAATCGATTAACGTCCAGGTTCTCAATTACTGCGGGATAAACAAAGACAAATGGTGTAAAGAAAATTGTGTGTAGTTTCACTCTTCTTGGGGATCGAACCATACGCATGCACGCACAGCTATTACACGCATATACATAAACACATCCAAACGTATGTATATAATAATGGTTGCCTTTCGCGTAACGAGGATGGCCGGCCCAAGGGCCACCTAGGCGTGAATTTAAGATGCAGAAGCTGTCGCCAACACAACAACCACACCCCAAGTTAACGAGCTGCATGACCCAGTGTCAAGGAATAGTCCGAGAAGATCGGACAACTCGCCAACTGCACTGGCTAAACCATTACCCCGGAATACGATCCGCAAATCGATTAACACCCAGGTCCCCAATTACTGCTGGGTAAACAGAGGCAAATGGCGTAAAGAAACTTGCCCACAAATATGAAAATACATGCAACCATTGATACAGAGAGGCCTACAGCCAGTCCCCTTGGCAACGCCCTCTTGGCAACGCCAAGCACGCACGCATCAGCCCTCCTAGCAACGCCTAACACACACACACACACACACACACACACGCACACACATACTTACTTGTACACAAGCACATACTCACTCATACACAGGCACACAAGCACACATTCACTCTTTAAGCATTCATTTGATACTTCCAATGCCTGGGTTATGACCTTCGTGGTATGAATTCATATAAATCATCACATTAAACTAAACACCGACTTAACCACGACAGAGGCAGTGCGGGCGGTGGAGCACCTGTTCTCTGGTAGCGGGAGGCACTTGTCGCTAAGGGTAGACCCACACATTCAGAGCTAACATGCACTTCTTCCCATACCAACATGTTCATTATTACAGAGACGTTCACCTACCCTAAGAAAATGTATTTGATAAAAAAAAAATGTTCAATGATAGTTTCACACAAACAGATATGTTGTATAGACTGTACGCATATACTGTAGCTTCACGAGTCAATGTAGAAACTAATCAAACATAATTGTACAAATACTCAAAGGGTAAAATATAGGAAGATGAGACTAAACACACTAGCACACTTGGATATTAAAAAAATATTAATTTATAGTTGCGCATTGAGACAGACAGACAGACAAGTAAGGACAACGACGCACTTAAAAAGTACCGTGGTTAGTTCATGAACACGTTATGAAATGAACAAAGGAACTGATAACTTAATGCAGATTCACAACTCAAATGTAAATATGGGATATATCAGAGTTTAGACACACCTGAGCGCGCACACACCCCTAAAAGCATATACGCATAACATAGTCGCTATCATGAACATCTACACTATGGTAGCAACAGTTCGAGTAAATCTCAACGCTATTTTAAAGAATTCTGGACTATCATCTCATAGAATACCAGTTGAAGATCATATTTCATCCCCATAATATACCCAATGAAACGCAAGAAACACAAAAGATCCACCGTCATCCTCATTTCTGTATTTTGTAGTAAATTTTACTAGAATTTCACAGAGAGTAAGAGGGTAAATATATATCTCCTCCTTCAGGTTACTCCCTCATCGTTGACTACTACTGGTGTGCACCCTTTGAACTGCTGGAGGGGGTCACTACCGGCCTCCTTGTGACCGCTGCCATCATCTACGGTGCTCAGCTATCCTCCAAGACTAACTTGGCCACACTCCAGGGTGTTCTGGCTACCCTGCATTACGGCCTCGGTGAATATCTAACTTTTTATACATTACTAATCCCTATAGTACTCTGAAGACATTACTCGTTAGAATGTATCGAGTATCTTTAATTCCTGTTTTCAGGGATCGTGATTAGAATTTATGATTTTCATCAATTGTCCGATCGCCCAAGCGGCTAACGAGCCGATCAGTGGTTAAGAGAATAAAAGTATTAGTAGGTTAACTAACATTGTTAAAAAAACAAATATGTTTTTTGTCCGTTATCTGTTACGATTGAGTTTTTTATTGCTTTACATCGTATTAATTAACAAATCTCATTACATGCTTTAATTTTGCAGGGAAGAGTATTGGCAGTTTACTCGGCGGATACCTCATGGCTACTCTGAAGGCTCCATTTGCTTTCCAAGTTTTTAGCGGGATCGCTCTTATATCTGCATTCGTGTATTATATAATCGGCAAATTAGTCATCCTACCACGGCATGCTAAAGATTTAAGACGGCGGCAAGAAATCATGGCTATGCCTATTGAAACAATATCTCGCAGAGAGCACAAGAGGAGAAGCAAACTCTTTAAAGAGCCAGGCGGTGATTCCGACAGAGTGAAGGAGAAGCCAAAGAAACAACGGTCACCCTCTCCAATACCAGTCACAGAAAACGTTCAAGTTCACATGGGAGAAAACGGGGCTCTTGACGAAACTCAAATGACAGACTTGCCTGCTGACGATACTATGATTTCCTTGGACGAATCATTTGTAGAAGATGAATCAAAAAAGAAGGAGGACAAGTAACAAATTTCATATTCATCATACCATTTCTAGCGCCAATGACAATTCACCATCTGTTTTTCCTACACTGTACTTTCCATAGTCCCAGTTGCATGTTAATAGGTGTATACTGTATATACACCGTAGGTCCGTACACACAGCATCATTATGTTTCACTGTATTGGTCATGGGAAAAGAGCAAAGCAGACTCAAATCTTCCCATTTCGATGATTTTTAATTGTACTATTTAGTGAGTACGTTATATGAGTGGCCCGTCGGTGCGTTGAACTAATTAGTACTTACATAAAACACGTTTCTGGCATGCCATTTAATTTGTTCATGGTTATTTTATCGAACAAATTATGTATAAAATCAAACTAAAAAATATCGATAAAAGTGCTAAGCCTCAACAGGCAAATCATGTATGTATGTCTTTTATGTCAATGTTTTGTCTGTCTACTTGTAATCTGTCATTTACTAATGGCTGTATTCACGCTAGACTTTTTGTTTCTTATGTTGTTTTATGTATAATAATTAAACACAACTTGAAAAAAATCCATGTTTATGTTTTACACGATCAGTGCGTAATTAAAGGTAAGGGTGGGTAAAGACGCTTATAGCCCGGTTCCAATATCTTTCACAAGCAAAATACGAAAGACAGCTTAAAGCAAGATAAGGAAATAAACAAACAAAGAGTGTTATAAATACTGTACAAGAACGTCCACCATCTGGAGTTTCTTCAGGGTGCGGTGTCATTGCACGATAGAAATTACTTTTTATGACTCGGAAGTTTTCATCTTACTTCTTGCAAAACGATACAAATAATTCACCCACTCCTACTGTCTATTTTCGCCTTTTAAGTCAAAATTCCTTTGGAAATGCAATAATATAATTCCTAATTGTCTTACTAATATTTAAGATCCTCTTTTTAGAAGTCAATATGAGATTTATCTCCGTGCCAGTACTAGTAATACAACCATATCCTCATCGGCTTGTCCTAAAACATCAACTCGTCCATAAATATCCAGTTATAGGGTGATATGCAATGACTACACCCGAGATGGATTCGAAAGTATTCCCAAGGGTAGGTGGCAAGACTAATGTGTTATTTCCCTGGGACCATCACATAAGACATCCATACGATAACCTAACTTTTCAGGACTTCCATCTGCTGTAAACGTTTAGCTGTCACAACTCCTGGGTTACAGATAATCCGTTTCTAACACACGCAAGATACGACACTATGTGAGCGCAGGTGTTCGAGCCAGGAAACTTACTCACGCAAAACCGTTTTGAACTATGGGGCCACGGGCGAACTCTGCTAGTTTGTGCGAAAACTATCATAGGTGAAAAGTTATGTACTACCCAAAGACGAAAAGGCGAAAACTGACCAGCCATTGGCAAGTTACTAGTCTGAGTGAACACTTCTAGCCTCGGCTTAAATTATTAGCCTACACAAACTGTTTTAGCTCCATCACGAGTGCAAGTAACCTCATATTAAAATAAGTAAGAAGATCAGGGGAAGAAGGAAGTATGTATTATAGAAGATGGAAGAAGAAAATTTGAGAGAAGACCGAAAATGTAGAAAAGATCCGGCCGATATAGCGGAAATTCGGAAGAAACCAGAAACTCCAAGTCCCAGCCTAGTCAAGCCGTTTCCATAGCTACTCTGCACTTCACCTGATGTGCAAGACTAAGCTGTACTTCGCACTGTAATTACCACTTTGTAAATTAAAAGTGATGGTACAGATAATGAGCTGTAGAGAACACACCCCGAGTGAAGAGTTAAGGAAACAGTTAGTGACAGAACCAGAGAGAGAGACAGGTGTACGAGCGGTGGTTCTCTCTTTTCTGTATTCACAACGCCACCCTTATCTTATACTCTTACTTCTCTTGTCATAGTTATTTCAATTGTTCTTTTTACTTACTTTAATGGTTACTGCATAACCTTAATTCCTTTTGGTAACATGTCGAGGGTCTAAGACGCATGGGTATTGTAATTCTGATATCAGGGTCACTTAGACGGAAATAAGGTGAACTACTGTGGGAGAAATGAATACTCCTAAAATACTCAAAGAACAGGTTTATTAATATGAAATCAAAGTGGGGAAAAATAGATATTATTAACATGTAACTTCATGGTGCAACTCCTCGCTTTACTCAATTGCAAATGACTCAGATATTACACTCTTACTGCACACTTACTGGTGTTACATTACATATAGTTACATGACAACTCTTGGCTTTACTTAACTGCAACTCCAAGTGGGTACTTCTACTTCACCCACATCTTCTAGTGGTACATTTCATTACAGTTACCAGGCTTTACTCATAGTCCCAAGTGGACAACTTTACTTCTCACACATTACTTGGTACTTTCCATTACATCCAGTTATAAGACAAACTGGCATATAATACTTCACAGACTGTTGGTAGTGCATACGAGATGCACTCACAACATACACGTTAATACTGAAACCACCCAACACGGGATAATTATTTCCAGTTAATTATCCCCCAACACTTACAACAACACTGTGGACCATATAACTCCAAGGCATGTCCCAGGGTATACACTGGCACCTGCAACAACTGACGACTGCTGTTGTGGTCGGTGGAAGCCAGACACATGGCGAGTCTGGGGTCTGAGGCCCACGAGGCGGACCTGCCATCTCAATCATGTCGAATCACCGACATCGGCCACTCCAGCTAACTGATAGGTAGCCACTGACTTCTGGCCAGTCGGTGGGGTGTTCAAGGAGCCCACACACTTGAATCTGGGAACAAAGTTGGAGAGGGCGTCACGGGGGGGAAGCATGGACAATACAATCACAACAAATCCTTCGTTTCGCAACGTAAGACGACATTTACTTTCCGTTACTTCTTACACTGGGTGAATGACGATTCCACTGTTAAAGTATGAACACTGATACTCACAAAATGACTAAATCAAACTGAATGGTTACAACGGTGGGAACACATCTACATACCTGGGAACAAAGTTGGAGAGGGCGTCATGGAGGACGTTCTCTCCCTCTTACCTGTGGTTATATACCCCTGAGTTGCCAGCGATCGCTACTCACGCTATGACAGAAATTCCAAACAAACCAACTGTTACTCATTCAAGGATGACCCTCAGTTGACAAAGGTCTGGCGAATTACTTGAGTTGATTTACATAAACTAATCCAAGATTGAGCTTGCCAGTAGAAAACGGAATAACAACGTATTGACAACTGTGTTCGAAGGCGGGACTTACTGGGAGGGATCATGAGTATAAACGTCGATGGGGAAAAACACGTCTCTTCTAGGGGATAGCTAACCAGCTACCCACTCCTGTTTTGCGGTCACGGAGTGTTATAAGAATCAAGTTCTAAAACAGACTAGCAGTCAACGTGACCATGACAAAGCTCCCCCTTTCCCCAAGATTCTTATTATGCGGTAACGTTGGCTAAACATGTACAGTAGTTACACAGATTCTTTAAATAACTGTTACCTTTCGTCACGATTTCACACTACACACACGCATAACAACACATCACGACTATTACAGGCATCTGGCACAAAAGACATACAAAACAAGAACACAGTGGTTACATACATGGGATAAACGGTAGATAAAAAAACACTGACAACATTGCATAGGGAAAAAAATACAGGTTATTAAACATACATAGGAGAATAATGTAATGATAAAGAAAAACATAAAAATGGGGTTACATACATAGCATAAAAAAAATACACAATACACACTCTGGAGATACAGCTTCTCATATCAAAAGTTTCACTTAGAGACTGATCAAATGCCTATTCGACACCACTGAGATTTAACTTCGACTTCTCAAGCTAGGACGTAGATGAACAGACCCCATCCAGTCGAAGGAATGATTTGAATGACTTTAAACGAAAGAGTCATTGTCCTACTCGCGAGAGGCAGCAACCTTCGAGGGGTCCCGAACGAGCGGCGATAATCCGTTTCAGTCCTTATGGGAGCACAACCAAACCAAAAACTGTCTGTACTTATGGCATTTGCCATTAGCGAAATCAGTGTCATGCATCCATGCCTGACTACACCTAAAAGTCACGAACACTACTCCTATACACAACAACAAGCCTAGCTAGGACTTAACCCACAAAACTTGAGAACTCACAACTGGTATCTTTACTCAACTGGTAACAGATACCCATCAGATGATTGCATAACAGCCAATCCATCTTCCAATCTTTGTGTCTACTGCAAATTGACAATCCCTCTCTGGAAAAAAATCAAAAGAAAAAAAATTCACAAACACCTTCATACTCACAAACATTCCCATTGCACCACATTCCACACTCACATGGGCAAATAACATACTCACTTTCCACAACTTACTGATGCAAGGCAACAACGCATTCTCTCCCTTACCAGTTGTGCTTCTCAATTGCAACACAAGTATGCAAAACATCACTCTTCACCATGCACATCAACAACCAATGCATTCCCGTGAACACTGATGCCAATCTCTCACATAACTAGCAAGAGAGGCATTCCACATTCTTCTCTTCTACACTTCCCTGTCCATCAGGCCACGCACCTGATGAAGCAACTGGTGGTGAGACCTGGGTGTCATTCCTGTGAATGAACACGTCTCCACCCACATACTTCTCAACTCTACACATCAACTTACTGGACACAGGTTCTGAGCTGACTGCCCTGAACTGCTCCCTTGTGGTAGCCATCATGCCTGGAGGTCACAACAACTCACTGTAACTAAACAACACGGGCACAGTGCACACCTTCAAAAACAAACGGATTACTGCCTAACTGTCCTTCTAATACACAAAAACTCTTGAAATACTGTTCAAATATTACTCACTCCCCTAGTGATAATACTGGAATGTGAACTTTTACTTTACTGCTTCACTGATGAATACACGAGAAAAACATCACTGTACTCTTTTGTCACTTTCCAAGACTCACTTACGGTGCACACTCAAAGCAATTGTACTTGTTATTGTCAATCTCTGTATGGTGCAACACTGTAGGAACTCTTCCGGAATTACACTGTACTCTAGAAAATCAAACTACAGTAGTACCCCGATTTACGCGGTCAATTTGAACCCACAGGGTACCGCGGAAAGTGAAATCCGCATAAATGGAACAACAGAACATATGGGATTAATTCCAATAGAGACTGGCCCGACCCCCAAACTCCACTTTTTGAGGACACGCAACTATGTTGTAGTAAAAATTTTATCTTAACTTTATGATGGTATGCACAAACAAGTAATATAGAAGAGGTT